GAGTGAAGTGAGTCGCCGGTTTTTCGGCTCAGATCCAAACCAGCGGCCTCAACTGACAGGGTTACGTTATCCTGGGACCTACAGGAGACAGGAGTGTCCATACCCATACCCATGGCATACTTCTATCTGAGGTCTGAGCACGGGCCACTTGGAAATTGCTTTGAAGAGCTGCTGATGCCGAGGCTGCCGTGCCATTTCTCCATTCTTATCTCAGTAAAATAGGCATTGTTGTGCCTGTCGTGTCAGGTGTGTGTTTTGCACTTAAGAAATTAGTTTATATGCAATTTTGAAAATTATTTTTAAATTTAAAATTAGTTAAAATGATCAATTGTTTATATAAACCTTATAAATAATTACATTTTTATTTTGAATCTGACCAGAAAAATCATTTATATTTTAATAAAACCTTAGTTTATCCTACTAAAAATCGTAAAATATTTTCTTCTGTATCTCAAATGGTATTTTTGTTTTCTTTTTTTTGAGTGTCTGCAAGTGCTGCTGTAGTGTCCCCTTTCTTTTGATTTTTACCATGCACGCATGAAAATTGTTTTCCTTTTGTCCTGGTCTCGGGCCGAGTAACAACAAAAGCCAAAGGTTGTTGGCAGCGCCAGAAACAGGAAACTATGCTATGGATTATGATGCCACCCAAAGGCCTAAGTGCGTGGCTGTGATGAAGGGGCGGCACCGTGTACTGTGCGGGGCGTGGCAGCAAAAGGCCGCATATTGACAATGGAGGAGGAAGAGTTCAGGTCCTACAGGTATTAAGAGGGTTAACCCCTTTCCGACCTGGAAAATGCATAGAAGCGGCGTGATTGAAAACCAAATGCCAGGGAAGCGGAAGAAATAGTGAAAGAGATGGGCGGAAACTATGGCAGTAAGTTGGCTTTGTCAAGCCAACGCCTATGGGCCTATTCAAGGAACGGCAAGTAAAAGTGGTTTTTGGGCTTTAAGAAGAATTTAAAATTTTATAGATTTAAGGAGAAGTGGAAAAGGGGATTTTATTTTAAATAAAAAGGTTGAAAACGGCTTGAAAAAGTCAAGTTTTTAAAAGGAAATCGTTTCAAACACATTCCCTAACATTTAAGTCATAAAAAACAAGTATTGAAGCTATTTTTTATGAAATTCTGTGATTCTTAAGTACCTAAAACCTTAATTTTTACAATTTCCCAAACCAGAAATCTAGAAAAACCTCACAAAAGCCACCAAGTTATTTCTAAGATCACAGATTTCTTTAATCGAGCTAAAATAGAGCTTATTCCAGCCGGGGAAATGGAAAATTGCAACTGCTTACTTAGCATCATTATGGCCAACGATTTATGCATAAGTACCGAATGAGAATTTTGCCAAATCCCTGCACACACACCCCCCTAAGAGTGTGTATATGGGTGTTGTGTTGTGCACATGTGAGCCTGAATCTGAATGTGAATGAATCTGGCCACGGAGACAAACGGCAGCCACTTAAAACTGTCACAAGTTAAAAACCGCAAACTGCAGTCGCTACAAGGATTGCACCTCCCAGAAGGGGTTGGAAAACACAGTGACATGAAGAGGAGGTGGAAAACTGGTAGAAAATGGTGGAAAAGCCGGAATGAGGAGCACGTAGAGAGCAAAGAGAGACATTATGCGACGGCATGGAAACACACAACAATTTCACAGACAATGAATACATTGGCAAAATGAGGGGGTGGGAGGTGGAAGGTGGCGACGAGGGAGGCGGCGGGGGCGTAGAAGGACTCGCCTAGACACGAGGACAAAGAAATTTAAATAAATGCATGTGCACGAGTCGCAGGACAGAAAAGAAATCACAACAATTGGTTGCACACCGAGGGAAAAAAGCAAACGAATTTTGGACAAAAAAATAAAATAAAATACATACAAAATTAAATAAGACTTAAAACGTAACCAGAATACTTTAGAATTAATGTAAAATCTTATATAAAAGTATTTAATTTTTGTGAAATTTTTTAAGTCCACAAAAATATTATATTTTCCGGTGCCCCCTAAGGATGGTTAAGGGGTAAAAGCTGATTGGGAGAAAGGGATGTGTGGGTTGTGTTGTCCTGGGGGGAGGTATGGAAATAGTGGGTGGTAGCAGCCACTCGAGGACAGCGGCGAGCGATGACTTTGCATTTTGCATTACATTTACTTTTTGCGACTTTGGAGATTCTCCGGGCGAAAGCAGTTTGAAAATTATTGCAAAACCCGAAGAACTGGAGAGCTGGAGTCAGCGTCCTGCTCCTTGCTCCTGGCTCCCATTCCTAGTAGCCGCATTTCAATGTTGCGTGTTGGAGTTATTTGAAGCCATTGTTGTTGCTTAGCTGCATTTGTTGTCCTCCCGCTGTTGTTGGTCCTTACACACGCAAATGTCTTATTTATGCTCAGCAGTTTTTACCAGCCTTCCACCCACCCACAACTTTTCCCGACGACGACAACTTCTTGCGGCTGAATGTCTTCGACTTTGCTTTCTGCTCTTGCTTTCCACTTTTCTCCAGCTTTTCTTCCATTTTTCACCCTGCAGTTGGAGTTTTCCCGCAGCTTCTTCTTTGTGGTCCGCTTGCAAATGTTGCCTTTAACATAAGCTATGCTATAGAATTAAACTACAGTGGAAACTTTTAAAATTATGATTGTTTTTCAGGGTCCCAAAATGGGAAATAAAATGTTGTAGTCAAGCTCAAGGTTCAAAATGTGGTTGCCAAAAGTACAATTTATTTTCTAAAATTATATTTAAATCATTTAAACTTGTATGGCTATTTAAAATATATTTCCAAAAGCTTATTCATTGCCCTAAGATACTCTTCCCTGTTTCAGCCTTTTTCATAGGTTCCCATTTGCCCAATGAGTTAGAGAATTTATTTCGGCACTTTGGATTATGGGATTTCAGGGGACAAAAGAGTAAAGGAGTCTCCAAATGGGTCACTGAACATCTGTTACATTTGCTACATGGATTCGCATGCCTTTATATCATCCTGATGCCTTTTAATAACCTCCCCTGGAGTCCATGGAGCATCCCCGGTAATCCCCCAATCAAAAGGCAGCCTGGCATTGCGATTGTTCATTGCAACACAAAGCTCGGATTGCATTTTGGCCTGACTCTTTCGTGGAGCCTTCGAGGATTTGCGTCCTGCCTTCATACTTCAACTTCAGCCGGGGCTTTCTTATGCAAAAATGCATTCTTGTTGCTTGTTATTTTTGCATAAAGGAAAATTGTTTATATAGCCAAGGATATATACGTTTGACAGGGAAGGGGCAAAGGATTCCACAAGGATACTATGTTTTCAGTTTTGCTTTTTTTTTTTGGAGTGGAGGAAGGCTAAGAGGAAAAGGACAGAGCAAGCTGCTTAGTCCTCGCTCTAATAGACCCTTGCCAGGACTTTTTATGCTGCTTATTATGGCTGGAGAGGATTCAGCGAAATCCCCTCAATCTCCACATCCTTTCCCCTTATTTATTGTCATGGATATTTGAGTGGAATTTCTGCTCGGCTCCTTCCTAGTTTGTAGGCAATAAACAATTTTTTAATGGCACATAATCACGTTAACTGAAAACTGTCGTCGCCGCCGCCGCTGCTGCTCCTGCTAACTTAATAAGCAGAAAGTCCAAAGTTCTCGGACATCTGGTCGGTCACGTTATGCAATTTAACAGAATTATTTAAAATTCAACAGAACTTGTGAAGTGGGGCAGTGAAAAGTGAGCGGCAAAGTTTTCAACATGCCAGCAACTGCGACTACGACTACGGCTGCAACTTTGCTCACCCATGGGTCAGTGTTGCAATGGCAACTTTTAAATTAACCCTAATTCAGAATGTGGCAACAACAGCAACAAAATAGGTAGAAAATAAAGAGCAAGTAAGGGTAGATGACCAAGGAAAGGAGAATTTCTTATACACTGATATTTAGTACTTTAAATAATAATTGCATTTACATAATAATTTCGTAATAACTGTGCCTTGTTATGGGTCATAACATCACTGTTCAATTCAATTTAAGAATAATAATATACAAACTCGGCTTTATAATTATAAGACATTATCTTCCTAACTATCCACAAATTATTTATACAATTAATTTATATATATCCTTATATGATCTATACCCTCTTCTAGAGAAAAATTAAATAACGAGTGAGAAAGCGAGAGAGAAAATTAAGGAAAGCCAAACAAGTTTACAATATTCTTGTGCATTTTTCAACTTTAACAATTTATTAAATGGGTCAAAAGCCACTAAAACTTCATTTATCATTGCATGAGCAGGCACTGCACCACGCCTCCTCCACAACGCCACCCCCTCGCAACGCCCAACGCCCAACGCCCACTGGCAGCCAGCACGTCAGCCCCGTTGAAATGCCAACAAATCGCAGAGACGAATGAGCTCAGCAAACTTGAAGTGTTTCCGGTATGCCGCAAACTACTTTTTGCCCGCCCATCCTCACATCCCATCAGCATCATCCACGGGCAAGGGACTTTAAGACGGGCATGTTGGCACTTTGGAGCCATTTGTCAGGGAGATGGGGCGTCGTTAAAGCCAAAGTCCACCAAATTTGCTGTGCATAAAACTCAGTTTTAAGTAATGAGTTTATTTCACGACTCTTTTTCAGCTTGAGTAAGCTCGGGCAGAATGATTCGTAGAATTAACTTAAGGCTTAAAAAGAGGTATTAACTAGTATCAAATATAACGATCATTGCTTCGCCTAATATCTTAATTATCAAATAATAAAGTGTTCACCTGGCTGGAATGATCACTTTTTAGGGTACCTCAAAGTCGTTGCTTGTGCCAGACTTGTTTTATTTAATTTATTTCACCTTTGCAGTTTACCTTTAAACGAAAATTAACTGCAAACTTTACAGTCATTTCGCTGGCTGTGAGTTATAAAGAATTTAAAATCGCGTGAATGCAGGGAATATTCAGTGTATAAAGCCATAAACTAAGGCATGTGTTATCCAACTACTACTCAAAAAATAAGTTTATATCTTTTTTTAGTTTTTATTTAAATTCATCCTGCTATTTTAGGATACCATAGTAACCCTTCGCGGACGACCTGTGGGATGGACTCTCCAATTCGGACCTCTTGCCATGGCCGTGGTGTCCCTTGGAAATATAAAAATTAGACTCTTTGTCGTTCGCGTTATTTGGGGATCTTCAGTGACATCCATAGGGGTTACTGGAGCAGCTGAAGAGCCCTCAAAGATAAAGGTCAAATGTCTAGTTGTTTGTTGTGTACTTCGAGTGGGTGATCTTGTCCAAAGAGTCGGTCTCGAAGGCTTCATTGTGGGTCTAGGTGGTCGAGTGGTTCCCATGGGATTTCTGGTCCAAAGTGTGGCCCGATTGGTTGGTCTTACAGGAGGTCTTGTCACAGGAGCTCTATTGGTGGGTCTTACTGTAACTCTAACAGGAGGTCTCGTCCATAAAGTAGGGCGGACCCTGGGTACAGTGGGTCGAACTGTGGGCGAGGGAGGACGCACTGGGGGTCTTGTGGGTCTTATATTCGGTCTAGTCCATAAAGTTGGTCTTATATTTGGTCTTGTGGGTACGCGCCTTGTGGGACTCTTTGACCAAATCAAAAACTTGCGAGTTGTTGCTTTGGCGGTGGCTCTTTGGGTGACTGGTGGCCTTGTAGGCTTCCTGGTGACTGGTGGAATTGGTGGTCTTCTGGTGATCCTAGGAGGTTGTATTGGAGGTCTTCTGGTGATCCTAGGAGGTGGAATTGGAGGTCTTCTGGTGATCCTAGGAGGTGTTATTGGTCTTCTTGTAATCCTAGGGGGCACAATGGGTGGTCTTTTGATAGGAGGCTTTACAGGAGGTCGTACAACCTTCGGTGGCGGTGGCCTGGGAAGAGGTCTAATGACTGGACGAGCTCGTCTGGAATTAATATCTGGTTTAGGCAGTATTACAAGTGGTGGCCTGCACTCAGGGGTACCACTGGTCTGGCCGAAAAGCGCGCAGAACAGGCAGCCAACGATCGCCAGCAGAAGACGCATTTTACTCACTCCCACAGAAGGCACGAGGTGGTCCGATTTTTATAGGTTAATGCCCAGAGACGAAGAACAAACACAGGTGGTTGGCGAAATAAGTTGTGCCTTTGTCTTTAGACTTCACTCGGTAGTTAAACGTTTTATTAAACATACATAATTACATGATTTCTTGCGTTCACTTGCCATTCAGGGTTTCTTGTTCTTGTTTTATATGGTTTTAGGGGTATTGGGGTATCGGGTATTGTATCCTTTTGTATCATATGTATGCGCATTGTGTATAATACTTGTACATTCATATATAAGTGTGTATACCCTATACGAGTATCTATATTCCATTTAAATATATATATGTTTATATAGAGAGAGAGAGTTTCATTTAATATCGGCTCAACAAACATAACTGTGAGTGCAGTTGTACAGAATGCATAATACTAAGGTTAGTCTATCCGAAAAATCTCCACAAATATAATATATATATATATAAGTACGGTGCTGTACACGAGAACTAGCGTATCGTTACAAGAAAATATCCAATGCCAATCAAATTTGCTATCAACAATATATAGTATTTATACTTTAATGCTTCCTTCATTCAATGTATTTTATGTATATCGAGCGAGAGATTAGCTTACATTATCGTCGAGCTGAAATCAGGAAAAATATCTCTTAGGTACAGATACAGTTTAGTGTAGTTTGCTTTTCCATATTTTTCCGTTTGGTGCGTCTTCTTCCATATACTATATATACTTCTCTATGTTATAGGTTTCTCTTTAGGTATTTCAAAATATGTATGTTTAGTACTCGTATATTTGTGTAAAAATTAAAATATTCAACACTTGATTGCAATGAGGCGGATTTCCATAATATCATTCGTTACAACATTTGTTTATCCTTTGGTTTTTACTTGTTTTCTCTTCTTATCTTCAGTTGCTAGTTTATTGTATTATTTTTATCTAAATGTCTTCTTTTTTTGTCAATGCAACTACATTTATATTTTATAATATTCCTTTAACTTGCTTGATTTTATTTCTTCATCATAATATTGCATAGAACATTTTTGGGAATTAATATTCGTAAATAACGTTTCTTAAAGGTAAATTAAATCAACTTTCTACTGAACATTCTAAAGGAAAACGGACATTCTTGAATTTGGAAAGTATTTGAAACCAAGAATATTAATTTTCCCCTAAACTTCTTCACATACGGTGCGTTTCAAGCCCATAAGACAAAGGATAATCTAAATTAGTTTGGTGAACATTATATTCATAATCAACAGCGGCTAAACGAAGCAGCTTTCGCTGCTTCCCAATGTCTTATAGCCTTGAAAGGCGCTCCGTATTCACATGTTTTTTTTATTTATATTTTTTGTTTAATGATTTCAATCTCTGCGTATTTTGTTTTAGTATAGGTACTTTATGTTTTTGTGATTTTCGGGGGCTACCCGGGCGTATGTGTGATCGATCTGGCTTGGTGAGCGCCCAAAAGTGGGCTTGAGAACTTAGAATAATGCCTTGCAACAAATCTATAAAAAGGCCTATAAATATTATAGATCCGCACAATATATATATATATATATACATGTACATATCTATATTGCACTATGTTTATTGCTAAGCTGCTATGTGAAAATTCGTTTCGATTTCCTCCTTCTCTCTAATACATGTAAAATCAATCTAAATCATATGGAATCTTTATGCTGGCTATGTTGAATGTGGCATGTGGCATGTTGCATGTCCTATATAAAATATATTATATGTGTATATGTATATGCTATATGCTATATGTGTAGATCAACAAATCAAATTAAAGCAATGCAGTTATGCAATTCATATTGCAGGCCAATGTCCAAGATATGTTTGCGGTTATACTTTGTTCGTTTTAGTTTTTCATTTTCATTTCTTTTGTTAGTTTTGTGAGTAACGAGATGATGGCCTGTCTGACCGATTTCTTGAGAGGATCCGTGACAGCTTACTGGGCAAACGGATTGTGCTGGTTAGCGCCGGGAATATCCAGGTTGCCGCCAGTGGTCTGGTATGTGCCATAGGGTCCTCCATTCGGATTCATTTCGTTCAGGCGCGAGTTGGACAGAGCCCGGGGAATGGGATTGCTGGGAACGCCATGCGGAGCCAAGTGCGAGGTCTCCTCGGCCACCTGTAATTATGAGATGTTGTATTAAATTATTGAAATTATTATTATTCCTTCTCTCCCACCTGATGCGGATCCTCGGTGACCGGAATCTCCGAGATGAAGCCTTGCTCCTTGCGATAAAAGTTGACAAAGATGAAGAAGCCGAGGACAAAGAGGCAGGCGATGCCGTACCAGCGGAAGGTAGCAGTAGTACCGTAGTAGGTGACGAACATGCCACCGATTATGGCGCCGCAGCCGCGTCCCAATCCATGGTGGATGCCCTGGAGTACGCCCTGGGCCGAGGCCCTCAGATGCTTGGGCGTGTTGTGGGCAATGTAGGAGCAGGAGGCTGCCCACACGGCCGCATGGGTGATGCCCTGCATCAGTTCGAAGGGCAGCACCATCCACGGATTGGTCAGATAAGAGATATAAAGGAAGCGCAGGACATTGCCAATTAGGCCCAGACACAGGACCTTGACATGGCCGATCTGGGTGATCAGACGGAAGCTGAAGAAGTAGGCAAAGATCTCGGACACATGGTTGATCACGGAGGCCACGCCAAAGAGCGTGGGAGTGCCGCCATAGTCCTGCAGATGCCAGAACAGAAAGGTGAAGATCAGCCCGATGCCGAAGCCCATGAACCAGGCCACAAACAGAAAGGAGGCGGTCTTCAGGTCCTTGAAATGGGTCAGCACGGTCATCCATTCGGGCAACTCTTTCGCCGTCTGCGCAAACACCTTGGACTCGGCGCCAATGTGGGGCTGCGGCTGATGGCCGGCGGCCAGGAAGCTACTCACGCCACCGGCACAGGCACCCGAGGCGGCACTGCCGCTACCCACTGCCAGCGATGGCAGATTCAGCTGGGCGGCCAGTTGGTTCATCGACTCGTCCTCGGCCCTCTTTCCAGGATCCACGAACTGTGCCGCCGCCTGTTGGGCCGCCTGCTGCTCATCGATGGGATCGTACTTGAAGGTGATCTTTGAGGCGGATATAATCGCACAGGTCATAAGCACGGAGAAAATGGAAAAGCAGATGTTGTAGTTCTTCTCCTTGTTCTGCGCCCCGCAAGGATGGTTTGAGAACGAGGTGGAGTGATCCAGAGCAATGCCCACCAGGAACATGGAGATGCCCCAGCCCAGGGAGCCAAACATCCGCTGATGTCCGTACTTGTCCGCATCCTCCCCCAGCAGGGTTATCACCGCAGAGTCGGCCAAAGTGATTGCCGGAGCGCTGAAGAATTCGCCGATCAGGATCACCAGCAGCAGCAGGAAGAAGGCCTTTTGGATGTCCTGTTTTTGGGATAAAAGAAGAATTATTAGTATAGGAATAATTATATATATGAGGGTTTATTAAGGGGGATTTAAGTTTAGTTTTATTTTGGTTACTTAGAGATTTCTATTTATTTTTATTTTAATCTCAGGCTACGACTAAAATTGTTTCAGTTCAAATTCTATTTTATATCTTGCTTCTCAAATTTAGTTGTTAATACAAATAATTAATATTTCTTTTAAAAAGTTTAACTAATCATAAATCTGTTAATAAAATTAAAGAAACCTGAAAGTATATCAAATATTAATTAGACCTTCCATGCAAGCTTTATGTAGTGATTAATGGAAAAACGATTCAATATAAACCAGAATCAGTTGTCAAAACTAAAATATTTAAGAAAATTGCTCTTCAAAAGTATTGTTTAAAGATATATAAAATGATTCCCCTAAAAAACTAAAGGCTAACCACTTTTATAATATTAAAATCTTGTTGTAAAATCTTTTCTCATTATAAAAAATATAAAATTATTTTTGTAAAGTGAACATTCAATTTGAAAAAGACTTTACTTCGAGATCAATTTTATTTAATAAATTCATAAGAAAATAAACCTCTAAATATATTTAAACAATAATCATTGAATCCTAGATGAAATGCTTTTCATTCATAATTTTTCCCAAATAATCCAACTTACCGGTGTCCTGTAGACCATTGAGCTGAAGATGGGCGTCACGTAGTCCCTGTGGTATTTGTCGTCGTAGTTGCTCACAAAGTTAATGTGCACTGGCGAAATGCCCGCATCGATCCTGGGCAGCAGCAGCGATCTCTTGTGCCGACTATGAGCAGCCTCCGCTTCCTCAAGAGCCTCTTCCGCCGGCATTGTGCCCATCAGCTGATCCATTCGCTCCGGCTCCGGCTCGTACATAGAAGATAGATCTCGCTTGGTGCGGGTGTAGGTCAGCACAAAGTCCGTGGCATTACGCCGCTCGATACAATTGATGGCCTCCGGCCGGATGAAGCTCAGTGGGATGGTGAAGAGGACCCAGCAGGCCAGGGAGCCCAGCAGCAGCCGCTTGCCCTGCCGACAGCGATCAGCATAGGAGCCCCAAAAGGGGGCCGAGAGGAACTCGACGAAGGGACGCATGCCCACCAGGATGCCGCACTGGCCTGGATTCATGCCCATCTGCTTGAAGTATACTCCCATCAGCGGAAACAGAGAACCGAAGGCGGCGTAGAAGAAGAAGTAAAAGCTCTTAACGGGAATCAGCTCGCGTTCCGTGCTCGCCCCAAAGAACATCTCCAGGATGTCCGAGTGGCCGCGTACTTTGTGCGTTGAGTCCTTAGCCTCCGGATATCTGTCGGGAAAATATAATTAATTAGTTTGAGGCCAATATATATCCCTGGATGTCTGGGACTCACAAATTGGGATCCACTTCGCCACTGGCCTCCACATCTACGCGTGGTCTGGCCCCGGGTGGACCGTATCCAGCTGCCTGCTGTTGATGCTGATCGCCATAGTTCATGCCCTGGTCATAACCACCTGTTGCCTGCTGCTCATAGCCGTAACCCTGCTGTCCATAGCCTGCTCCCGTGGCTGGTGCTCCAAAGGGATTGGCGCCTCCTGCTCCTCCCCCGCCCGCTGTGTAGGGATTCATTGTTTGTTAGTTCCTTGAACTCGGATGGTGTCTGCTGGTTGGTGTCCTTCTCCTCCTCCTCCTCCTGGGAATCCCCCGTTTCTCTCTAGCTGCCTTATTTCCGCTCTTGACTGACACTTCCTTCGGTCTGCTCTTGTGGCCCAGTTACAGCCTCATTATCATCTCCATTATCATTCGGCAGCTGTGGAATACAAAAGACACAATTTGGCATCAACATCTCATTGTTCTGAAGAAGACACATTGGGGATGGAGATGGTAATGGAAGTGCGTTTGTCATTCTGCAAAAACAAACTGGGATAAACTCTTCCCTAACAGACACAGAGTATAGTCTTTTATATATATCTTATCTCAGTTAAAATTAAAAATATTGCAAGTAGAATATGTTAGTTTAAAAAATAAATACAATTAAAAACAAGAAAGAAAGCTAACTTTGGCCAGCCAAAGTTTGTATACCCTTGCAGGTAACAATTAAAATATATCATAACTAAGCCAAAAATGCATTAATTTCGATTCGGAAAGCAGTTTTGTGTTAGTTTTCATTATCCTAAAAAAACTGCTTACCTAATTTCAATTTTCAGAAAATCAAATTTTTTTTTTTAATTTTTGAGAATTTTAATGATGTTGCCCCTTATGAAATTTCGCAAAAATGGCAAAAAAATCGATTTCTTTCGGACATGTCTAGAAAGATTCGCATGTTAATGCTGATCAAGAATATATATGGTTTATGGGGTCGGAAATGATTCCTTGACTTGGAAAAATATTATTTTGTATTATAAAATCGGATTTTTTATATTAAAAAACTTCTTGATTTTTTTTAAATTAAAGATATCATAACTCGGCCAAAAGAGCATTAATTTTAAATCGGAAAACTGTTCTGTGCAAGATTTTCTACAGTTAATAAATCTACATACTTCATTTAAAAATTTTGAAAATTCAATTTTTTATCAAAATCAAAAATTTTAATGATGTAACCCCTTATAAAATTTTGCAAAAATGGCCAAAAAATCGATTTCTTCCGGACATGTCTAGAAAGATTCTCCTGTTGATGCTGATCAAGAATATATATACTTTATAGGGTCGGAAACGTCTCCTTCACTGCGTTGCAAACTTCTGACTGAAATTATAATACCCTGCAAGGGTATAACAATATAAGCCAGTTAAAAGGTTTATATAGACTGTATATTGTACTAAACCTAAATGAATCTATTGTGATTAAGTCTTAATAACAAAAGGAGTTTTCCCCAAGAACTTCTAAACCCAAATGTGCTTAAAACTGATTAGAAACTAAACCCAAACCAAAAATGTATAATCAAAATATTCTTAGTCCTGGTAACAAAAACGGACTACTAAAATGTTATTAAGTCCCAAAACTATTAATAGTAAAAGAGTAATCCAGTTGCCAAGTACGCATCAGTGCCCACGCTCACTGAGGAACTTGAACAATTACAAATGTCAACTGCTTTCGCTTGACATTTCCCCAGTTGCTTTTGAATACTTTTGAGTGAGCATTCAAATATTTTTTATAATTTTCCCTTGGCGAGTCAAGTAAATCCCGAGACTGGGCCAGAGAGACAAAACAAACAAGCTCTGAGCCCATTCACTCTTTTGTATTTTTTGAGTGAGCTCAAGCGAGTTGAGTGGATTGCATTAGCTGCTGAGCTTTGAGCGTGAGTAATTTCTATGGCATTACACATACGCACCGTTGGCACATAATAAATGTAGGTAAAGGGGCAGGCGTGTGTGTGTGTGTGTGTATATGTGGGTTACTGTCTGTATATAGAGCAGACTTGTTGTTGGTAATAAATAAAAACTAAATAGAAATTTAAGAAGTAAAAAAGTAAATAAATAAAGATGTTACTTTTTGGAAGAGAAAAGATTAAAACAAAATGTCTTAAACCCACAATTACATATTTTCAACTATAAGCTTATATGAATATCATATTTTTAGGAACACTTTCCACAATTACACAATATTTAGGTTGTAGAAAACAACTAAGTTGCTTTCTTTACACAAAGTCTTTATAGTTATTCCATTTTAATGGCACACACGTGCCCACAAAAGCTAAGGTGGTATGTATCAGTCTCACTATATATAGACAATTTTCGCACACTTCTTGAAGGCCACTGTCAAAGGGTCTTGAGGTGCAAAACCTCTGCTTTGCATTCCCTTTTATTATGTAAACTTCTCGCACTTTAACCAAACGTAAATTATCATTAATTTCGCAAATATTTATTTGATTTACACACCAGAAATTTAAATTTTGAGGAAAATTTGTGTGGTTTTTCGGCCGCTGGAAAATGTGTTACGTGCGTAATCGATAAGCAGAGTTTTCCTCGCGCCTGGCCTCTATACGAGCGTTTGGCAAGCTGCCCAAGAATTTTCCAAAAGAGCCCCGAAAAGAAAATGTTGCGCTCAAAAGCGGACGGAAAAGCTCGCTCTAGCGCGTTTTGTCGCGACTGTGTCTGTGTGTGTGTGTGGGCTTGTGGCGGGTAGAGGTTGTGCGAGAGGGTGTGTGTATCCAAGCCTAATGAGATTTGACGGCTGACAGCAGGACTTCAAAGAGAGCGAAAGAGAGGCTTCGAGTGAGACCACAAGGGGGAGAGAGTGCAAGTGAAAGTGACATGTTTGGCGGCAAACAAAATTTATTTTAAACATTACCGGATGTCCAATATAAATTACAAGTAATAAATATTACATTTTTAAAAAGCTACTTTAAATATTTCCCAAGCCTTAAATAATAACTAAATCCCAATAAAGAAATCAAATAAATAAATAAATATAATAAAAATACTAAAGGGGATCTTTTCATAATTCAAATCGCTAAACGAAAAGTGATTACAGCCAATTACGACTTTATGGCACTTGTCACTGCTAACATTTTCCAATAAAATACGCAAATTGCAGTGTCGTTCACCTTAGGAGACCCACATTCGTTGACAAACAAAATGAAAAGTCCCCCCGATGGGGAACCACCAGCAACCGCCAAGACATGACCGCACCTCAAAACCAATTCGAAGCGAATAGGAGCCGCCGGTTCCTATATAAAGCAGAGCTTTTCCAATAGAGAGCAGATCATTTCGATTTGTTTACTCAAAGCAAAATGAAGTTCACCATCGTTTTCCTCCTGCTGGCCTGTGTATTCGCCTTGGCCATGGCCACTCCCGGCAAGCCAAAACCATACAGCCCCAGGCCCACCTCCACTCCTCGTCCCATTCGGGTGAGACGCGAAGCCCTGGCCATCGATGATCATCTGGGATTGGTCCAAGCTGCCGCCGCCATTAGGCCTCCTCCCATTCTACCCGCTTAAGGATCTGGAAACACTTTGGGAATAAAAAGAAATTAATAACAGCAGCCTATGAAAATATTTTCGTTTACCTTCAAAAGAACTTTTAAATCATATCTCTCACTGTTTTGCAACAATTAATAAATGCCTACATAATAATGTTTTTTAATAACTAATTTTAAAAGTATATTTCCAAATAAAATATAATACCCATGAAAAACAATAAAAATGTTATCAAGCTTAATATAAATTTGTGTTGTGTGGGAAATACATATGGTCGATCAGTTGCATAGAATAAATAAAAAAGACAAAAATCCAAACAAAAAAATAAAATTTGTAATTTACTTATAGGCATAAACAAGTTCTTAGGGGATTTTATTAAACTAGCAGTGCTTCCCACAGAAGATCAATCTGAGATTTGGTCAAGCCTCTATAGTAATTAAGCACAATCAGTAAATACAAAGTGTTTTACTTTTCTTATCACTAAAAATAAAAACAAGAAAATATATGAAGCTGTAATGACAATCATAAACTTGTATTTCCTAAGCAAATTTATTTTTCGCAGTTTACATAAAATTCTAAAGGGGGTTCCTCTCTATTATCTGCTGTTGCCAAGAGATGCTCAACTATAGAGCTGATAAGAATATATTACTGATTCCAACAGAAACCATAAAAAGTCACGTTTGAGAGAGAAATACATCTGGTGACCCGTGTGATTCACAAACTGGTTTCAAGGTAATAAATTTCATTGGCCAGATGGCTGAATATCATGATGAATGGCTATCCAACTTTGCTAATTCTCAATTTCTGTTATTAATTAGTATTTATTTTGTTGCTTTACTTGAATTGGGAAATTATAAACTTTGGGTTAATATATAAAAATCATTAGTCTCACAAAGCGGGAAAAGTTTGTAGTTTTTTGGTGGCTATTTTTTTACAAAGGGAAACAGTATTGAATTTTTGTTAATATTAATTGTTTAGACAGAAAATAAGACTCTACATAACTAAAAAATTTTTAATATTTTTATTATTATTTTATTATTAATTTGTTATATTATTTTAAAATTGAATTCCTTATTTTCAGTGCAAACTTTCCGTTGACACATCGAGTTAAAGTTTCCGGCTTTCCTCTCTCTCTTATTCTCTCTCGGCTTAAATCCTTTTTGACTGCTCCTGCGCAGAAAATTCAATTAGAATTTGGCTGTAACTTCACTCAAGTCCTGCGGCTCTCTCTTCCGCTCATTAACCGCTTCCACCACCCACCAGGATATCAGGCTACTTCCCCCTCGATTCGTTTACGTATATTGATAAAGCCTGACATCAAGTGATGGGGAATATGATAGCGAATCGCTTATAACTGTCAAATGCTGTCCTGCGCAAGATGACGAAGCGCTCCTCCGTCACAGGCCACAAAGGAGCCACTTGATGATGCCAGCCAAATCCTGGGGCGGGGTTGAAATTTGCACAAAGGATCAACAAGTGGCGTCAATGGGGCGCAAAAAGAGGGAGGCCAAGGGGTCACATCGCTTGAGCACGCGAACAACAGAAAGCCCAAGTAAATCACCCACCAAAACTTGAGCGGGGAATTTCTAGCAGATAAGACAGACAATCCCGAATTCCGTTTCGGATTAATCTTGTGAATCACCAGAAGAGCTCTCAAGCCGCTCGAATGCGGTATAAAAGCGATTGATTGGCCTCATTGGGACATCAATCAGCTCCAGCAATCCCAACCAGCAACATGCAGAAGACAAGCACCTTAGCAGTCCTGGCCATTGTGGCACTCTCCGCCATTGCAGAAGCAGCTCCTGGGGGCCATGGATGGCATCCCTTGCCAACATCACGTCCCATTCGCTTCCGCCGCCAAGTGCTGGGCGGCTCCTTGACCTCGAATCCCGCTGGCGGTGCTGATGCTCGTTTGGATCTCACCAAGGGAATTGGCAATCCCAACCACAATGTCATAGGTCAGGTCTTCGCTGCGGGAAACACGCAATCGGGCCCAGTGACCTCCGGTGGAACCTTGGCCTATAATAAGTGAGTAAACCAGAGATTAATAGTTTAGAATCCTAAATAAACACCGTTCTCCATTGCAGCAATGGCCATGGTGCTTCCTTGACCAAAACCCACACCCCCGGTGTAAAGGATGTTTTCCAGCAGGAGGCCCATGCCAACCTCTTCAACAATGGCAGACACAATCTGGACGCCAAGGTCTTTGCCTCGCAAAACAAACTGGCCAATGGCTTTGAGTTCCAGCGCAACGGAGCTGGCCTGGACTACTCCCACATCAATGGACACGGTGCTAGCATAACACACAGCAATTTCCCTGGAATCGGCCAGCAACTGGGTGCTGACGCCCGTGCCAACCTTTGGTCATCGGCTGATCGTGCCACTCGCCTGGATCTGACGGGATCGGCCAACAAATGGACCAGTGGACCCTTCGCCAACCAGAGAACTGATTTCGGAGCTGGCTTGGGGTTGTCTCACCATTTCGGTTAATCCAGATCCTGCCATATTTATTTTAAATGTAATTTATTTAAATGAATTATAAATTAAATATTTAATTGGAAACATAATCTATATATATTTCTATATACAATTTGGGATTGTAAGGGGTTATTCGGGAATTTAAGCAGGGAAATTATATAGACAGAACTTTTACCAGGTCAAATTATATTTAATAAATAAATAATCATAATTAGACAACGTGATATAGTTTAATTTTTTCCTTTAATTAAACTCAAAAACCTGTAAGTATTTTGAATTTATTCTTAAGTTAAATTTTGTGGAATACTTTTAATACCTTTCCATTATTATAGCTTAAGTCAGCAGTTAATAAGTCATTTACGATCCTATAATGATATGATTAATTTTAAATTCCATCTGCTGGATTGTTAACCTAATAAAAACCGCCACAGAGCCGTATTCCGAACTAAAATTAATGCTTGTTTGACTTAGATTTGATCAATTTCGTCGGGTCGAAGTTAGCTTCCTTTTCCTATTTAGTCTATGTCCAAACAACTATAAAAAAGTATGTATATATATTTGTAAAGAGAAAGATAGAGTCGTGTTTGCTTGATTTAGAAAATTAAAATTTAAACTGAGAAAAGAGAAATCTCTTTTATTAGAATACAATACATGCTTACTCTCCTCAGCGTTTAATATATTTTTTTAAACATTTGTATGAGTACTTTATTAATTATCAGCGGGAAGAAGGAACCCAACATTAAATTATTTAATAAATATAATACGTCATCATAGAAAACACAAGTAATTTTCCTTTTACATTTATATAGGTGCTTCAAATAAGCTTTACTTCTTCAAATATACGAAATGTGAAACATCATTTTTTCTGCGTAATAAAATTAGGTATTAAATAGCAACTGCACTAAATCAAAACAAAATCCATCAAGAGAAGAAAGATTATAAGAAATAGAAGGTGAAAAGGTTAATTCCCTCGACCAACAAACAAAAGTAAATCACCCACCGAACTTGAGCGGGGATTTCCTAGCTGATAAGGCAGCCAAGCGAAGACAGCGATGAGATGAATCTTGTGAATCACCAGAAGAGTTCTTCCCCAGAAAACAGGGTATAAAAGCACATCGCTAGCGACCTTGGGACATCAGTCAGCTCCAGCAATCCCAACCAGCAACATGCAGAAGGCAACCATCCTAATCTTGGCCGTTGTGGCTCTCATCGCCATTGTAGAGGCAGTTCCGCAAAGAGTTCATGCTCAGACATTGGTGTATTATCCCCCTCGGACGCCACCACCACGTCCCATTCGTGTACGCCGCCAAGTGCTCGGCGGCTCCTTGAGCTCGAATCCCGCAGGAGGTGCTGATGCTCGCTTGGATCTTACCAAGGGAATTGGCAACCCAAACCACAATGTCGTAGGTCAGCTCTTCGCTGCTGGAAACACCCAATCGGGTCCAGTCACCTCCGGTGGAACCTTGGCCTATAATAAGTGAGTATTTTCGTCACTATATGTTTTACCAAACATTATTATTCAGCACTTTATTAACCATCAATTTTGTATCCTTTGCAGCCATGGCCATGGTGCCTCCTTGACCAAAACCCACACTCCCGGAGTAAAGGATGTTTTCCAGCAGGAGGCCCATGCCAACCTCTTCAACAATGGCAGACACAATCTGGACGCCAAGGTCTTTGCCTCGCAAAACAAACTGGCCAATGGCTTTGAGTTCCAGCGCAACGGAGCTGGCCTGGACTACTCCCACATCAATGGACACGGTGCTAGCATAACACACAGCAATTTCCCTGGAATCGGCCAGCAACTGGGTGCTGACGCCCGTGCCAACCTTTGGTCATCGGCTGATCGTGCCACTCGCCTGGATCTGACGGGATCGGCCAACAAATGGACCAGTGGACCCTTCGCCAACCAGAGGACCAACTTTGGCGCCGGCCTGGGACTGTCCCATCACTTCGGTTAAGGAGAGCCTCCTTGTTTACTTATAATAATTTATTAATAAAACTAAAAATCGAAAAATGAAGAAGCGTTTGCTGCCTTTTGAGTTGTGGGATTCCAAAAAGACCAGAATTTTACTTATACTCCTTTGTTTACGGGTTTCTGTTTTTTGTTTTCATTTTATTATGTTGTTAATTGAATATTTTTGCTTATTATATCGCACTTGCGTAAACAATTCGATCCCACTCAATGATTAATAATTTTGCTTATGTTAGTTAATGGATTTTGTTTTACAATTGTTTCAGTTTTTGTTTTTTGTTGTGGCTGTTGCTGCTGCTGTTCTGCTGTTGCCAATATCGGTTTAATTCAGTTTTCGCAGAAACCTAAAACTTGTTTTGGCTTGGACTCGGCTTTAGAGTGGTGGTGTTGTTGTTGTTGTTGGAAAATACAAAAGAAAACTAAGAAAGTCTGCTAATTATGCGGATATCATGTGTGAATTGAAGTGCTTCCTGCGCTCCGCTTACGATAGCTTCTTGGCCTTCTGATAGAGGGTGTCCACCACCTTGCCCATGCTCTGGATAGTTTCCAGCACTCGCTCATACGTCTTATCCACGGGCGTCTCCTCAAACACAATCAGGACACCCTCGCCCTGATCCAAAATGCCGCTGAACTTCTTATCCAGGATCATTTGCGACAGTTTCTTTTCCACCTGCGGCATGGGCAAGTGAATGCTCTCGGCCACATGGGCGACCTACGGTAAGCAGAGGTTTAATGGCATTGCGTGAAAAAAAATAATTGTTGCCGACTAACCTGCACACGGGAGTAGGGCTCGATGATGCGGCACAAGTTCTGCTCGAGCATGGTATCGTATAACGTGCCCAAATGCGCCTGAACAATCACATCCTCGGCCAGTTCTTTTTTGTACTCCTTGAGCGCAGCCTGGAAGTCAGCCAAAGAGCGTTTGTGTGAGGCCTCTGCCACCGATTTCATGGCATCCACATCGCGGCCTGAGTAGGTTATGGCCTGTAAGAAAAGATATAACGGATTAAAATGAGATCCTCCAACTTGGTTGTAGTGCCTAGCTTACCAGCTTTCCGCTGACAATCTGGTTCACATCGTCCGACTGTCCCAGCATGATCTTGCACAGCAACATGTATTTCAGCGAGGTCAGGGCCTTGACACTGTCCACGCTATCGAAGCCTTCAAAGGCCTCGTAAAAGTAGGAGAAGGCTGTCTTGAAATCGCGCTCATCCGCCGCATGCAGGATGCCCGACTGCAGATCAAGAGCACCCTGGACCTTGGGCGGACAGTAGATGGCATTGGCCGTAGTCCTGGCCGATGTGAGGGCGGCCCTAGCCTTGGGCAGGTTGCTCAGTGCATGGTAGGTTTTGCTCTCGAGCAGCTGGACCTCCACCAGCAGATTCTTGTCGTCCAACTTCTTCAGTTCTCGCAACAGCTGTGAGCCGAGGGACAGAGCCTCTGTATACAAAGCCGTGTCGAAATATAAGGCAATCAGACGAGCCTCCAGGGATTGGCGGAGGAAGGTGCGCTTCTCCTGCTTGGCCCACTCAATGCAGTCTTTACACAGTTGAACCTACGGCACAAACAAAGAAATTACGATTTAGTGTAATTCTTTCAGGGAGCGAGTTCAGTACTCACCTCGATGCCGGTGCCTGCGTCCATGTCAAGGAACATGTCCACCAGCGAACGCACCAGCTTGGCCGCCTTGGCCTTGCTGATCGAGCTCAGGAACGGACGCGTCACCTTGATGAGATCGGCCAGCTCTTTGGCCTTGCCCTCCTGCTTGTAGAGCTCGCCCTGCTGTAGGATGCCCTGCTCCTTGATGCGGATGCGCTCCTCATCGTTCTCGGCGCCCTCCTGGTCGCGCACGATCTTGTTCAGCAACGAGCTGTCCTTCTCTTCGCGATTCACGCTGGACAAAGCCTGGGCACGCTCGAAAAGTGTAGCTCCGGCCATCTTGGGTCTTGGAATTTGGATGCGGATGTGGGGCGGTCAACAAACGAACTTGCCAGGGAGTTGCGTCTACCAATCAATTATCTATGCGTGTTTCGACTGAACCACTAGCCGTATTTGAATTTTCTCTTTGTTTTCGATGGGGTTTGAGTTGTAATAATTGCGTATTTACGTGTTTTTTGCTGACTTTTTCACCTTTCGGTCGTTGTTATTAAGCGCCAGTCACGATTAGAGCTGGTGCGCCTTCGATAGGTGTGCCAGAGCGGGCATCGATAACGACGGATATCAATATATCGATTAAGGCGCAACGTGCTTAATCGTAACTTGCAAACTTACAATTTTACAGTTTTGTGGAAATGCTCGGCTTAAAAAACAACTAATTATTTTAGTAAATGCTTGATTTTTACAAGCCTTTGATTGCAAAGTAACTACAAGTCACGGCTTTTGACTGGCGTATCGATAAGCTATCTCTTCCACCCCTAGATCCTATCGACCTATCGAGTCTGGTTTGTTTTTGTTGAAAATTCCAAACATTTGAAGAATTCGCAATGGGCGAGGAAACGAGCAATTCTACGCAAAATAAAACACGGACAAAGACCACGCGACCTAAGGCTGTGTACCTGTGGACAGTAAGCGACGTGCTGAAGTGGTACCGCCGCCATTGCGGCGAGTACACCCAGTACGAGCAGCTCTTTGCCCAGGTGAGTGGAGCTTCTCCTGGAATCCCCCTCGCCTTACTCACCGTTGGTTAGGATTGCCTCTGCTTTGGAGCTGTTCCGTCATCTCCGGTGCCACAATTTACAATTGGAAAAACACAAATTCAAAAAACCCTACAAAACAACAGCCTACTGATTATGTTGTTTTTCCAGCACGACATTACGGGTAGGGCTCTGCTGCGCATCACGGACTCGTCGCTGCAGCGGATGGGTGTGACGGATAACCGGGATCGAGAGGCCATTTGGAGAGAGATCGTAAAGCAGAGACTAAAAACAGACATCATGGAAATCCGCGATATGGAGAGGCTTAACATACACTCGTGATTATGAGCTTATTTTCTAGTTACATTTTTGCTTTAGCCGTAGAATAATTATTAAGTAAACTATAGTTGATATATAGAGGCCTTCGCTATACTTCCAATTGATCTGGCTTAACTAAAACTTCCTCAATTTAAAATCCGAGACTAGTTCCATCTTTATTTATAGGAGATTCATTGCAGAGTACACTAAACCTAAGACCAGATTCGTTCATTTCACTGGAATGAATATCAATTCTTTGAGATCACTAAAAGAGCTTGTGTTATATCAATCACTTAAAACAACTTCCTCCACCACACCGGTTTAGCCCTCCTTCTCCTGCTTGGGTGTGACTAGTTGGACATCGTTGTCCACCGGTTTGGTGGCCACACTGGCCACTAAGCCAACACCTGATCCTGCCACAGCTGCACCACCAGTACTGCTTGTAGTGGTAGTGATGACTTTTGGCAACGAGTTGGATGTGAGTATGTGCGGCATGGAGACGGTGCCATTGGCCATGGGCAGGGCGGTGGTGAAGAGCAATTTCGGTGGCTGCAGCCGCTGAGCAGTGGAGGATGGCGATGCCGCAGGTGCCGGCTGCAGCAGGCTGGGCAACAAGTTGAACAAACGCTCTCCCATGGACTTTTCCCAATCCAGACGTTCACGCTCCAGGGAAAGCCGATTGTGCTGGATCTCGTTGGCCTCGTTCTGGGCATTCAGCAGCTGGCGCAGTAGGATTCTCATAGCTACAGAAGAGATCGACATTGACGAAATTCTAGCTGAATTTAAAGGTTTAGTGCACTCACTTGTCATGTGCCGCTTGGACTGCAGCTCCTCCCGCGCCTTCTCGTGCGCCCTGCGGGTCTCCTCCTTTTCCATCTGGATATGCTGCTGGTGCTGCAGATGCTGCTGATGCTCTTGGTGTAGGCTCTGTTGGATTTTTTGCTGCTGCTGCTGTTGTTGCTGTACCGCCGCTTGAACTTGAGCCTGAGCCTGAGCGGCAGCCAGCGGCAAGGTGGCGGCTGACTTTCCCACGGCCGCAGCAGCTGCTGCTGCTTTAGCCTGCTCCGCATTAACCAGGACAAACTTGACTCCTCCGGGTGCGGTGGCCATCAAACCGGCGTTGCTTGGCTGTGCCGGTGCGGCAGCCGATCCGCTGATCATCAATCGAGCGCCCTGATTAATGGCGCTCTGTAGCAACTGCAGCTGGGGAGCCGCCGCTGCCTTGGCAGTTGCAATGGGACTTGGTCCTCCAGCCACAGCCGGCAGCTTGGATTGCATGAGGAAGTTTGTGGGCACCAATGAGATCTTGCCCGCCTGCAGCTTATTGGCTGCGGCGCTTGAACTTTGTGTGGCGGTGGAACAACTGGCCGTGGTGGTGGTAATGCTGGCCGGGATGATGACATTGGCTCCGGTGAAGGGCAGCAAATTTGCGGGCTTGTTTCGCTGCAAGATGTCCGCCAAAGTGGACGATGAGCTAGAACTTGGGGATTTCTCATTCGGCGATTCGTCGGAGGCATCCACATCAATCGGCTCTTCCTTGGGCACGGGAAGCAGCATACAGTCGTCGTCCTCATCGGGCTCGGGCTCTGGGTCAGCTGGTGCCGCCGCAGGAGCCGCCACCTCCACCTCCTGGGCAGGCTCACTCTTGATGCAGGATGAAGCTAGAGCTTCGCCGATATCAACATCCACTTCTGCGGAATGCTTGCGGCGCTTGCTAAAGGATTCCTCGTTTATGTCCAAGTCGGCCTCCAGACATCCAGCTTCCAAGTCCTTCCGGGGGGCTGGCTCTTTGTTTTTTGACACCAAAGCTGACAGCATCATGTCGTCCTCCTCGTTGTCGCTTTCGGAGAGCTCTTCGCCGTTTTCCAGGCGACGCTTACGACGTTCGGCGTGCTCCTCCAGAGCTTGCTCCAGTTGGTACTTCAGAGAGGGAGCCGGGACCTCGTTGGGGCGCACACTGAAGATGGGTCTGGTCATGATGGCGTCCATTTCGGCAAAGTGCTTCCAACTGGGCTCGGAATCGCCGGTAAGCACCCCACACTCCTTGTCCTTTTTTAAGCGATTGTAGAAGCACTTCAGGTTCTTTATGCGCGTGGTTATCTCCTCCGGCGAGCGATGGTAGCCGTACTCCTGCATCTTGTTCGCCAGTTGGCAGATCACGGCGTGCTTTTTGTGCGTGGTGATGAGCGTCCGTTGCAGCTTGGGATCGCCCCAGAGCTGAATCAGCAGCTTGGTCTCGTCGGTGTCAAAATTGGGATTGCGTCCCACAAAGCTGTGCTTTTTGGCGGAGGAGGAGGAGGAGCTTGGGCATGGATTTGAGGTGTTACTGCCGCCTCCTCCATTGCTGCTGCTCGTGTTGTTTGTCGACGTTGGGGTTGACGGCGTGGAGGTTGAGGAGGCACTGTTCCCCGCCTGAGCTGGCGTTGGAGCTGGATAATTGGCAGCCGCCGCCTCGGAGCGGCGCTTCTTGATCCGTGCACTTGACTTCAGGCTCATGTCGTGCAGTATCTGGAAATCGGAGGAGCTAAGAAGCTGTGGAGCCCGGAGAGAAAATCAATACGTCCAGATACTCGAACGGAGCCACTGCCTCCTGCAACGTCTGCTGGCCAAGTGAAAAATGAGCCAGGCAAACGGCGCAACCGCGGGCAACCGAATGTAATCGCAAGCAATTTCAACCCCTAAACGTCGGCTAAACACAAACCCCCGGCCTCCAGCGGGAAAATCGGTGCTAAGCCAAGTGCATTTCCCACCCAACTAAGCAGAACCATGCGCGGTGGCTCACAGCTCAGCCCTCGTGCTCTCGTTCGCTCTCTGGACGTCAGTTGGCATGCGCCAAGGGGGAGTTATTGATTACTAACCCCTAACCTGCAGGGTTCTTGTTTAGCTTCTACGAAACCCCTAGGCTTTCCCTTAACACCCAAACTATTTCAAATTGGGAAATCTTCCCCCCTTGTCATGAAATCCTTTCAGGGGTGAGACGTGGCATTTTAAGGACGAACCAGGATGCAAACACGAGATCTGCGCATCACACTTTGTAGGTCATGCGCAGTGAGAGCGATTGCGATTTCCACCCCCAGGAAACCGTTAGACGCAACGAAGCAGCAGACTTTGTATCAAACCTGAAATAAATGCATAAGCTAACTTTTCTCAGAGCTCACCTTTATAAATGAAAAGATCACTAGGAAGAAGCTCCATAGTTTAATTTAAACATGAGCTACCGATTACAAGTGTTATCGATATCGATAAGCGATTACTGTGACTTCACGTAACAGTTTTTGGTATATTTTCGGTCATTTATACCTTTTTCCAGCTTTCGGTCACACTTCTGTCATCAGCTGTTGCAAATAAAAATCAAGTTTGCGACACAAAAATACAAAAATGGTTGTGTCGAAAGAGGAGCAGGAGTTCATCAAGCGCAAGCATGAACACACACTGAAGCTGCGCAACGAGTTCCTCAAGCAGAGCTCCAATCCCTACCGCCATGCCACCGGCGAAGGCGGCACCGTGGTGAGTGGAAGAGCCAATAACTCTCGGCTTGGTTATGTCATCACGCCTGGGATACATGCTATTAATTCCGCTCCCGTTCCCTCTAGTTCGATGCAGGATTGGCCCGCTTCCAGGCGATGCGCGTTTCCAACTACGAGCACTTCAAGCCCACGGGCAAGTCCTTCCGCACCGGCCTCTTTGCCGTGGTGCTACCCATTGCCGTTTACGCCTGGGCCCTGAAGTCGGAGCGCGACGGACGCGAGGAGAAGTACAGGAAGGGCGAAGTGGCCTACAAGGATCGCCGATTCAAGTTCATCTAAACGATACATTTAAGCCATGCCCGAGTTATCTTCGATTTGTAGTGGAATTAAACAAAAAAACAAACCAAAAGCTACGATTAACTAAGTGTAATTTATTTCTCCTCCATCTGCTTGTCGCGGGCAATCACAAAGTCCTCGAACTTGACCATGTACGTGGTGCCTTTGTGCCAGTGAGCGGTGACCTTGCAGGGCTGCAAAAATATCACTATTAGGAACCATATTTTGTGGTATTTAAGGAAGACACCTACGAAGCCGCAATGGGTGAGCACTGCCTCTACAATGCCAGCCGTGAAATTGGCACAGTTTAGCGAACCCTTATCCTTGGGCACACTTATGAAGGTATTGACCAGCGGCTCCTTCTCTATGATGTAGTAGGTCCGCTCATCATCGTTGGCGTGCTCCAGCTTTTCCGCCTCCTTGCCAAACAGATTCTTCCACACGGTGGTCTTAACAAACAGCAGCATTTGTGTTAACTTGGTCTCCCGCTTCGCACTGCGCTCCCGCACAAAATACAGGTCGATTATCCGGGTGCCCACGTCCTGGCCCAAGTCATGCAGCCTGAAATCACAATTATATCAATGATATTGGTTCTTTAGCCTGAAAAGTCCACCCACCTTGTTTGCAGTTCGGGCACAGTAAACACTCTGCTCTGGGAGTACTGAACAATCTCGCTGAAGAGCAGCGCAACAATGCTCTGGGACACCTCAGTTTTGCCCTTTGAAAGCGGCCGGTCCAGGATGTTGCTCCTGGGGCGCATCGAGGAGATTTTCAGGGCCTCCAGCTTTTCCATTTCCTTAAAGTTATTTTCCAAAACAAAGCAGACGGACAGTGTTACCGTGGCTTAAAAATAAATAATACTAAAATGAGACAGAAAAATAATCGATATTTAAAATCGGCAAGGCTGCCACACTGCCGAAAAAAAAGTGGCAGCTTCGCGCCAGTTAAAGCGAAAACCGTTATTTCAGTTTTATTAAATATTAATTAAATAATTATTTATTTCTTTATAATTTTATATTTGATGAAAATACAGAATTTAAAAGGGGAATTGTTTTTTGAAATTGAACTAATCCAAATAGTTCTTAAAGATTACTTCACGAATTAGAGAAAGGATTTAAGGTTACTTCAAATAAAATTGTATTTATTTAAATAAGTTCTTACATTTTTATATGCGACTGCTGACAACCCTGTAAAGTGAACCTGAGGCTGCCCACATAAATAAACATCTTCGAAGCACTCGAATTTCGTCGCCAGGCACCGACAGTGGGGATGGCTGTAAGAAGCAAAGTCCCCCAGAGGCACCGCCACCGAATGTTGGCGGCTCGAATTTCCTGGCATCGCCTATCGTTGATTTTCCATTAAGTGTTTATTGCAAATCAAGCATTTTGATATCGCCCATATACACCGGAAATTCCAGCAATTATAGATGGGATAATGATTAACAGATCGAAAAATTATTGGCTTAATTATAGGAATTTTGAACCTCCAAATAAGGGACTATGCCGCTTTCCCTATTAAGTACTTCATCAAGGTAAGCTATGTTGGCTTACCCATTCACCATCGTTCTAAAATAATCAAGGATAATGTTTCAATACCCAGGTAATTGTACGACACCGAAAAAAGAATAGATAAAACAATTAAATTAGATTAATCATTTTAATAATAACACCATATTTTCTAATAGAAAATATACTGATTTTAAAATGTCAATTTCTCTGCCAAAAGATTAGTTGGCTGCCAGCTTCACTTCATAGACCAGATCTTCTCTATTTGGATTCCATTGTTTAAACTATCTTTAGAGCAAGCAGTCAACAAGCGTCTCCCACTAAAAGCCCCAGCAAATATTTACTACCTTTTTTTGCTACTATAATTGGTTTATAATTGAACTAAACTTGCGCCTGCCCAGAGAGCGCAAGAGAGAAGCCCAGGTAGAGAGTAATTTTTGAGACTTTTGCTTGCTGGAATGCCAATTTAGGAAGCTCAGCTCGCTAGAATATTGCACTTAATCTATTAAAAGAGCGTAAGAGAAGCAACGGCAGCTTGGCAGCCATAGTGAACCAAATAACTGGTTAAATATGTTAACTAATTCATTAACTGCGTTTCCTTCCAACGCCCACATAGTGCCTCTAACTCACTCTCCCCTTTCTATCCAGTTAACCGGCCGGCTTACACGTACACACCAATACCAGCCTCGGTGAGAGCAGCATATAGGCAAAGTGCGATTGTGGCAGAGAGCGAACTTCATATAAAAGCAGCACGGCGGCCCGAAGAAAGCCACTTACTGTACAATCGTTGCTGCGATCGGTTCAGTGTGTGTGCAAGTGAGGCGGCGTGACCAGCGAGAGCGAGACCGAGAGAGAAAGCTTAATTGGCAAACTGACAGACGGACAGCTGTTTTTTGGAATCTTTCTCGAGGTAAGCTAACTGCATCCTGGAAACAGGAGGTGATCATTACTTGTGGGACCTTCGAAAGTGTTGGAAATAGTACGCATTCAAAAGTGCTTTTTCGAATTTTGAAAGCCTGTTAAAGGCGCTTCCTATATTACTGGAATTCAGTGCAAAAAGTATAGTGCTCTTCAAAAGTGATGTAATTTACGCATTTGGCCAACAACAAACCATAGTCTTTGTCTTGCCAAGAATTGGAAATTGCTTTTTCGAACTTCGGAAACGTAGGCGAATCCGAAATCGGAAAGCAGTTCTAAAATTACACACAATGGCTTTTTGGTTTTTTGGCTTCGGCTTCGATCGTTTGATTGATTTTTGGGTCAATCGATTCGAAACCGAAAAGTTTTGAACTCGTTTTTACAGCCTCGCAGTTCGAGTAGATCACTCGCCTCACTCGCCAGCAAATATGTGAAGGACAACGACGCGAACTCTGCTTCTTCCTTTCTCAGAACCGAATACCGATCAGATCGGCAAAGTTATAGAAAAGATATAGAAACGACCGACGCACCGCCGTCGACTGTGGAGTGCGTGAACGTATTTCGAAGCGTGAGGTACTCGAATCGGAACTATCTCGTGTCTAGTGTGTAATGTGTTTTGGAACCTTCTCTTATCGAAACGCAGGCGGCTTATATAACCCCAATCCGATAATACCTTGCCGAAACAAGAATATAAATTCCAATTGAAAAGAGTCGAGACAAGCAAACAAACAGTAATTTTTCGAACTGATAATGGCCAGTGAACGAATCGAATCGAGACGAGGGGTCTGCGACTTTAAACATTTGAATTCCATCAGTGATAAGCCCGATCGCCTCTAGTTCATCTCTAATCGAAACCCAGACGAAACCTGTCCATATGGCCGCTGGGTGCACGTGAATCCATTTGCTGTCCATCCAGCTGATACCCAAGATTCCCATTGACGCACTTGGGTCCTTGACCCATTGCGACCTCTGACTTTTCCCATGGATCAGATTGGATAATCTCCCATCTAACCTTTCCCACGTTTGAAGTGAAACCATTTTACCTCGATTCTGTAGTGCCAGATCAAAGAGCCAAAATAGATCAGCAAATTGAAATTAAATTAAATCATGACACCGAAAAACACAGACGACACAGACCAAATTAAATTCAATTGAAGCTGTCACGGGGCAACAACAAGTGCGAGGGTAGGAAGGAAGAGAGCGCTCTATAATAGAGCCGAAGAAAAGCAATACGAAAAGTCAAATCGATTGCTGCAATTTGAGACTCTCTCCGAAGAAATCGAAAATTGCAGCGGAAGAGCGACCAATCAGGCATTACTTTTGGGTGGGGGAAAGAAGGGTGAGAATCTTGGTGACTGACTGGGCGCCCTGCCAAAATGTGCCAGCGATGCATGGCAAAAGGCAGAGAGAGAGAGATACGGAGGTACTTTGGCTACATATAATGAACCAAAAACTGGTTTATGTTCCGCTTGGCATCCAATGCAGAAGAAGGATGACGATTTTATCCCTATCCCACGTTTTAACAAGGAAAAAAGTTCACTAACAAAACATTTAACTTTAAAATAACTTACAAACTCATTGGATATGTGTGGGCGGGACCTGAGCTCTCGTTTTTTCAAAAGAAAGCAAACTAGAAACTAATTAGAGCAAGAATTTGAATGGCACTAACTCGTAAAATAATTCTTATATCTGTAATCCTTATATATTTATGGAAACCATAAAGGCAACAACCCAGCAACAATTCGAAATGAACTTTTTGCATGGAAGTGTCGAGTACAATGGAAAGAGGGGCGTTCTTCTCTCGAACCCCTTTCCTCCAGAGCGCCACCCACCTTTGGCGTTTCTTCCAGCAGCGCCAACGCCCTGAAAGATATTGAGACTGACTTTTGCTCGGCTCAGCGAAACAGCGAAAGACAGAAAAGGGGAGAAGTGGTTGTCATGTGCGTGGGTGTGTTGTTGTCTGTGGGACAATCAATGCACTTCCGCTCGGATCTATAGGGAAATACTCTTACAAATAAGTATATGGTTCCCGGTATATATATTGCAGTTTTATGGTAATTATCTTTTCTGTCAGCTCTTGCCTTGGGCGAGCTCGCTTGATTTATTTGCTGGATTCTTGAGCAGAAACCAAATATGGCGAGCAAATAAACAATTGTGCAAAGCAAGCTTATCTCATTGAGATCTGAATTAGAAGATTTGTCGGTTTTCACCAAGGAGAGATACCGGGGGATGGATTCTTCGAGACCTTCTTGGCTGCTTTATCGGACTTGGCAGAATCATATAAGTTGGACGAATCTTTAATTATCCTTATCGCATACGCATAATCTGACCCACTTCAGCAGCAGTTACAAACATTTATCACGTTCCTCTTATCAGCAAAAATGAGACTATCGACTGATAAGACGGGGTTCAAATATCGCAACAAACATAAACAATTACTTGGGGGAAAACGTCGAAAACAATTTCAAACTATTTCGCAATGAAATGAAATTATACTGTCCCACTTATAGATACTTATTTTGGTTCCTTTTGATTGATAATAGTTTATAACCTTGCCCCTTTTGTACCTTGCAGGGAATTGCATTGAGTTAGCGCAGAGATGGCCGATGAAGCACAAGCACCACCAGCGGAGGGCGCACCACCAGCCGAGGGCGAGGCACCACCACCCGCCGAGGGAGCCGAGGGTGCCGTCGAGGGCGGAGAGGCTGCCCCACCGGCAGAGCCCGCCGAGCCGATCAAGCACAGCTACACGCTCTTCTACTTCAACGTGAAGGCGTTGGCCGAGCCACTGCGCTACCTGTTCGCCTACGGTGGCATTGAGTACGAGGATGTCCGTGTCACCCGCGACGAGTGGCCAGCCCTGAAGCCAAGTGAGTGTGACAGACCAGCAGCGGAATTGAAATATCAATAAACGCAATTACCTTTTCTATGATAGCCATGCCCATGGGCCAGATGCCCGTGCTGGAGGTGGACGGCAAGCGTGTGCACCAGAGCATCTCGATGGCTCGATTCCTGGCCAAGACCGTTGGCCTGTGCGGCGCCAATCCGTGGGAGGATCTGCAGGTGGACATCGTGGTGGACACCATTAACGACTTCCGTCTAAGTAGCGAACAATGTGTGCCTCAGTTTCATGTTCAGTGTCCTTGATTAACTCTGGAATTTTTAATGTATAGAAATTGCAGTCGTCTCGTACGAACCGGAGGACGAGATCAAGGAGAAGAAGTTGGTCACCTTGAACCAGGAGGTCATTCCATTCTACCTGGAGAAGCTCGAGCAGACCGTCAAGGACAACGACGGACACTTGGCTCTGGGCAAGGTGAGTGCTTACATTCCTGCAAGAAATAAATTGAAATCAAGTTAAGGTTGATAAATTTAATTTAATTCCTATATTCTGTCCACAGCTGACCTGGGCCGACGTCTACTTCGCAGGCATCACCGACTACATGAACTACATGGTCAAGCGTGACCTGCTGGAACCTTACCCGGCTCTGCGTGGTGTCGTTGATGCCATCAACGCCTTGGAACCCATCAAGGCCTGGATCGAGAAGCGTCCCGTCACCGAGGTTTAAGTTCCGGAATGATGGAGCTACGGGGAGAAGGGAAACCATCAGATATACACCCGAACCCGCACTGCAGACATGAACACCAACCCTTACATCTGTACACACACACACTTTGTTCCTTTTTGCGGGGAGATTCGAGGAGCAGCGGACCTTCGCACGGGGTCATGAACGCCTAGGACGAGTAGGAGAAGTTTAGCACGTGTCACTACTACGGACAAGTCGTATTTAAGTTTATTTTCAAGCCTATATATAATTCTCTTTGCATGGCGCTATATATATATTTCTATTTGGGATCCTCAGCGGATCGCCGTTTGTTTGGTTCTTAAGAAAAACAAATGATGATGATAATACTTATTGCACAGTTTATAATATCCTTTGGCCTACCTTTAGAACATACATTTAGCGCAGCAATGCAGACGCTGACTATAGCTATATATACACAAACTCTACAAGTGGTTCATCTTTTAGGCGTAATTTCTATTATACTTAACTAATTGCAAGGAGCTCAAGAAGAATATTTAAAGCAATTACAAAATTATTTCAATTTTTTGTTCTTATCACACGTTAAAGCGTCGGCCCCAGGAATTTTCTTCGTCTTGTATAGTTTCCCGCTTAAAGTAAACCTCAAGAAAGAAAGACTCAACTCAATAGAACCGGATGCTATTCAAATTAAACCCAAAATCAAAAACAATCGGGAAATGCTGTAACAACAACAGACGTTAACTGCCAAAAATTCAAATGCACTCAAAATCACACATTACATCACATACATTATTCACTTTATTTATGCAAAATTGTAATTGTATTTTTTAAATATTTTCAAACAACACTTTTAAATAAACTAAACACCTAAAAAAGGAATGAGCACTTTTCAAAAGCAAGTCGAAAACTCTTTTTTATTATTATTTTTCCTGTGACAAAAGAGGTAAAGATGGGTAACATTAAGAATTATAGGTTTGGGAGTCGGAAACGCTTTATTATTTTATAACTCAGTTTTGAAAACACTTTTTTTATTAGTCAAAATCATTTAAAAGATAAAAGATAACAACATTTTACACCTATAAATGCACAATTGGTCCGTTTGTTCCAACAACTAAAGCTCCGATTGATCACTCATGTTTCCAGCTGGGCGGCCGCTTCTCAAAGAAGCTAGCAATGCCCTCTTTGGTGTCGTCCAATTGGAAGTTCTCGCACATCTTTGCCTGGGCCGCTACATAGGCTTCCTTCTGGGACAGGGCCAACTGCTTGTAGTAGAACTCCTTGCCCAAAGCAATCACAGCCCTGCTCTTGGCTTTGATGGCGCCAGTAATCTCATCTATTTCCTTATCCAGCTCCTCGGCTGGCACTGCTTTAGTAGCCAATCCAGAGATAAAGGCTTCTTCGCCGCTAATGGGCAGGCCTGTCATCAGCATAAAAGCGGACTTTGGTCGGGACATAATGCGGGCTATGGCCACGCCAGGAGTGGAACAGAAAACTCCCACACCAGCTCTAAAATGGAGGATGAATATGATGGTAAACCGGTTTTAATTGAGAACCTTCAAGCTTACCCAGGCGTGGAGAACTTGCTGGTTTTGGAACAGATGACCATGTCACAGGACACAACAAGTTGACAGCCTGCAGCAGCCGCATAACCATTGACCTTTCCAATCACAGGCACCGGTAGCTTTTGGATGTCATTGATAATGTCGGTGAGCTTCTGGAACACACACGCCTGTATCTTGGGATCGTTGTGGAGCTCCTTGAGATTGTGACCTGCTGACCAGACTTTACCCTGGGCTCCCAACACCACACATCTCAGATCCACACTGTCCTTGTCTTTCAGCAAAGCCTCCTGCAGGGCAGTCATCATCTCCAGGGACAGGGAGTTCAGGGTTTTTGGATGATTCAGCGTTATCTCCCGCACGCCATTCTGCTCCTTGACCAGGACCAGGTCGGTGGCTCCAGTGCTGGCAAAACGAAGGACCTGTTGCCCGACACCTGTTGCATATTTCGAGTTTTGCAAGACACGCAACATTTTGTATTTTGATTTTGTCAAACAGTGTTGGTAAATACCGACGCAAATCAGCTGACAATCGATAAGAGCCAGCTGTTAGTCGATAGACGAGCAACAGTTAAGTGCTAAGCCGCTATGCATTTCTACAATTAAAAGTTGTCCCTGTTTATTCAAAGCTTTCACGCATTTACAGCTGGTTTACAGGTAAGTAACCCGCTCCAGGTGCGTCAATAACCTCTGCCTTTGTTTGTGTATCAGCTGAGCGCAGCGCTAACACAGCGACAGCTCATGTACTTGGGTTAATAAAAGTATTTATGTGACCACTACTACAAGGGCAGAAGTTTATCAGCCGCCAAAGCCATTTGTATTTGTCGCCCCACATTTTGCGCCCCACGGATCAGTTAACGATTCGGAGCGCGCTAGTGCGGAACCCACGAGCACTCTCTATTTCACTCTCCATTCCAGCTGACCCAAGATGCGACCATTTTCCGGCAGCGATTGCTTGAAGCCCGTCACCGAGGGCATCAATCGCGCCTTCGGTGCCAAGGAGCCATGGCAGGTGGCCACCATTACGGCCACCACAGTGCTTGGCGGCGTCTGGCTCTGGACGGTGATTTGCCAGGATGAAAGTGAGTTTTGGAGAAGGTTGTGGGGAATACTACTACTAAAGTGCCAAGTCACCCGGAAAATCAGTCGATTCCTTTTCATTCCAAACCCAAGGCAGGGCTTGTCATAAATCTAAATCCATCAAACTATCTTATCTGTGGTCGCTGGGGCGCGTTCCTTTAGCACCATAAATACAGTCGAGCGTCTTTAAATGTGACTTGATTATTATGATACCACTTGTAGATTTCCATAAAACAAAGATATATGATTGTAATTCAAATATTCTGCAAGAATTTCACTTCATAATGTTTTAATTAACTGCTTAAAATTCCTAAAATCTTCTTAGAGGTTTATAAAATTAGGTATAAAGTAAATATTCCGAGAAAAAACCTTAAAAATAACCCATTAATTGTTTCGTTAAGCAAAAATTCCCTCACCCAAGATTATAAACTTTTCTTAACACACAAAGACCTTTTCTATATGTACTTTGCGCCTTATATAAGCCCAATCGATGCATGCAGCCATGGTGTGCCCTCCACGAACTCTTTTTGAATTTAATCTCCTGCTAAAGATTATGATAGATTAGAGTCGAAATATTTACTCAACAGGCTTGTTGTAGTTAGCAACTCGAAATCGATGTTATATGCAAAGTTCAACAGCCCAAAAACCAAGGGTTTCGATAAGATATAGACATCCCCTACTTCCGAAAAGCTAATAATAGGACTTAAGAATGTTAAGATAGCATAAATGCTTTTTGTATGGCTTAGTTAGAACCGAAACGAATGAAATTCGGTTGCCTTTTCTCCAGAATAACGTTTGACTCACCTATATTGGGTTTTTCCACCGCCGTTTTTTTAAACAAAGAGTTTCCAAAAAGGTGGCCAAAGTAAAAACACGCCATGCTTCATAAAAACCGAATGGTATACCCAATATATCATATATCATGCAACCCATTATCTCTATTATTATTATTCTTTGTGTCGGCGTCTGTCCACCCTAAGATAAGTCTTAATTTTGGGGTTTTATATGCGCCTAGATAATAAATACGGTCTAGCAGACAGACCAAATTTAATTAGCTTTAAAATTAAGCCTTGAACCCGTTAAGTATTCCATTAAAAAGGATCCTTTAGGTAGAAGGTTTCATTTAAGATGTGATTTGGCAAACATTATACCTAATTTCCCCACTATTCCAGGTCTCTACATTCGTGGAAAGCGCCAGTTCTTCAAGTTCGCCAAGAAAATCCCCGCCGTGCGTCGGCAAGTTGAAGCTGAGTTGACCAAAGCCAAGAACGACTTCGAGGCTGAAATCAAGAAGAGCAACGGTCACCTCGCCTACAATGAAACGCTGCCCGAGAAGGGTCTAAGCAAGGAGGAGATCCTCCGTCTGGTGGACGAGCATCTTAAGACCGGTCACTACAACTGGCGGGATGGCCGTGTGTCCGGAGCTGTGTACGGCTACAAGCCTGAGCTGGTGGAACTGGTCACAGAGGTGTACGGCAAGGCATCCTACACGAATCCCCTGCACGCAGATCTCTTCCCGGGCGTCTGCAAGATGGAAGCGGAGGTGGTGCGCATGGCATGCAACCTGTTCCACGGCAACTCCGCCAGCTGCGGCACCATGACCACCGGTGGCACCGAATCCATCGTGATGGCCATGAAGGCGTACAGAGACTATGCTCGTGAGCACAAGGGCATCACCAGGCCCAACATTGTGGTGCCGAAGACGGTGCACGCAGCCTTCGATAAGGGCGGCCAGTACTTCAACATCCATGTGCGCTCCGTGGACGTCGATCCCGAGACCTACGAAGTCGACATTAAGAAGTTCAAGCGCGCCATCAATAGGAACACCATTCTGGTGAGGATTTTCTCTCTGTTCTTAAAAGTTTTAATTACAAATTTAAATATTTTTGCAGTTGGTTGGCTCTGCTCCCAACTTCCCCTATGGTACCATCGATGATATCGAGGCCATTGCCGCTTTGGGCGTGAAGTATGACATTCCCGTTCACGTTGATGCCTGCCTGGGTAGCTTTGTGGTGGCTCTGGTCCGCAATGCCGGCTACAAGCTGCGTCCCTTTGACTTTGCCGTCAAGGGAGTGACCAGTATCTCTGCGGATACCCACAAGTACGGATTTGCACCGAAGGGATCCTCGGTGGTCCTCTACTCGGACAAGAAGTACAAGGATCATCAGTTCACGGTGACCACCGACTGGCCGGGCGGCGTGTACGGTTCCCCCACTGTGAATGGTTCTCGTGCCGGTGGCATCATCGCCGCCTGCTGGGCCACGATGATGAGCTTTGGCTATGATGGTTACTTGGAGGCCACCAAGCGCATTGTGGACACAGCTCGTTACATCGAAAGGGGGTAGGTTTCTGCAGAAATTCTCTCTCAGAAATTCCAGTTGTAATGAATTCTGGTAATAACTTGCAGAGTCCGCGACATCGATGGAATCTTTGTGTTTGGCAAGCCGGCCACATCGGTAATAGCTCTGGGCTCAAATGTTTTTGACATTTTCCGGCTCTCCGACTCGCTGTGCAAACTTGGTTGGAACCTCAACGCCCTGCAGTTCCCCTCCGGGTAAGATGACTCACTTTGAAAAAAAAAAACAAAAAGCCGTTTCTAATCTCTAATAATGCCAATTACAGCATCCACATCTGCGTGACGGACATGCACACTCAGCCCGGTGTGGCGGATAAGTTCATTGCTGATGTCCGCAGCTGCACGGCTGAGATCATGAAGGATCCCGGCCAGCCTGTGGTTGGAAAGATGGCCCTGTACGGCATGGCCCAGAGCATACCTGATCGTTCGGTGATCGGGGAAGTGACTCGCCTGTTCCTGCACTCCATGTACTATACGCCCAGCCAGAAATAGACTCCTTCCGGGCTCACTCCACCTATAACTCAACTACTCCCACCCTTCCGCCGCGGAGCTGAATGCATTTCCTGTGCCGTATTTAATACCAACCCCAAGCAATTTACTCTAGCCTGCAATTAGTGCTGTAATCGAGGGTACAAAAGTCGACTATGGATCTATAAATTCATCATTACAACATTCAACATTCGTCTCTCTAAGTGCTATGTTATGGAAAAGTGTTTATTCTGTGTAACAACTTGCTAGTGAACTAATAAAATAATGTTAATCAAGTTTTGTATGCTCAATTAAAGGATTTCATTTGAATATCTGGGTATTAAAGGTGCCACAGAATTTTCTGCAGATTGTAAATAAATCTAAATGAGGCTTAAAAATATAATGATATTTTTAGGATTTCAAAATATTAGCAAATTCACTCCCTTTCTTAACTTAGAACTGACTTTAAATTGGGATAATTGAATGCCGTCTTTAATTGCCAAACTGCTTCCATTAAAGTACCTCAAATTGATCGACTGCACTTTAATTTATATTTCGTTTACACAGAGCCCGCGAAACTATTAACATTAATTGCTGCCGCTGCGTGGGTCTCCTGCAATCCGGTCTGATCTAATCTGGTTTGGTATTTCTTTTCTTACATTTTGCCACGCGTCGGCGTTATAATTTAGTTGATCTTCGATGCCCACCTGACACTCCCATTTCCTCTCGGCTGCTCTTGTTATTTATGTAAGGCCTTCGCTGGCTTGCTCAAATTATTTCTAATAAATTTCAGTAGCGGAAGCATTTATTATTAAACGGCAGACTTTCTTCGGGGCACGCGTTGCCTGTCGTCATTTGACAAAGTCTGAACAATATTTCAAAGATGCTTTAAAAATAGCCCAAAGAGAGCGAGCAACAAGTGTTCGGACACAAAGGTGACAATCAATTGGTGGCATCCATTTCGGGCCATGACAAAGACGAAACCTGTCACATTAACAGGGCGCCCACGCTCCCTGGACTTCCTTCCCCTGCTTCCTGCCTGCATTGTTTTGGGTTTGTTTTATTTTTTTCATTTTTACCTCTAACCTGGCAGCCAGAAAAATTCGGCTCAAACCGGGTTGCCAAAAAAAAAAAGGTATAAAATAAATACACTTTGCAGTGAGTCGCTACACTGCAAAAACAAAAAAAAAAACCCTGCAAGGTATTATTATTTTTTTATTTTAGAAGTTTGTAACGCTGTTAAGATCATTTCCGGTCCTTTTGATTTAAAATTGGGTTTCCTGTTCCAATTGCCAACTTCAAGGGTATCAAAAATTCGGCTTTCCAAAGTAAGCTTTCTTCCTTTTAAATTAGAAGAAAAAAACACCAATCTTGTACATTCACTTAGGGTATTTAAATATAGCCCTATCAACAAATTTAAAAAATATGTATATATAATTTAATCATCTTTTTTTTTCTGTGCAACGCTAACAGCGCAGTCGCCACCGACGCACCGCTGAGCGAAGGTGGGAGCAGCGCCGCGACGACAGTGGAGCGGCGGCCCAAGTCGGCGGCTCATTCGCTACGCGCTCGCCGAACCGCCGAGACGTTGAATCGCTGCCGCCGCCTTCTTGTCGCGGGTGTGAGAAGTTACCACAAAAATAAAACAAAACACCAAAATATATATAAAAATATTGGGAAGAAAACCTGATTTCTTCTACAAAAAAACAACAAAAAAGTTGCATAAATAAAAGAATTTAACATGCACCTTTTTTTACCGCTGATAAAAGGTTAATCCGCCATTTCCGTTCTCCCCTCGCGAATGCCTGTGCGCTATTGTGATTATGATATGATATGAATGATATGATGAAGTGCAGTAATCCATCGCCAGGTTGTGGCTGTAGTGGCAATTCCCATTGAGTGCACACCTTGCGGAATTTCAATTACTTAGCCGCCGCCACTCGATCCGAAAGGAGCGCACTTCAAGGTAAATTTTAAAACCAGCAAACAAAATACAAGGAAATAGTAACTCGATTCTCGGGCAAATGGAATTTGTTGCTTGAAAAGCGATAAGTTAAATAGGCATATTAATAGCCAATTATTAAATCACCAGTCAGCGACAACATCATCATCATCTTCACAAACTGTTCATTAGCAGGTCTCTCCCAGTCATGTCGATAAGGTAAACACAGGCGAATAGCTCAGAATACATGACTGGAAGAGTAAATAACTGAAAACCCTAGTTATAGGAAAGTAAACAGAACTTGGGGAGTAAACAGAGAAGTGACTCTTGGACTGGAGATCGTAGTGTTTGTAAATGGTATCACCAACCAGAGAGGGGCAAAGGTATTTTAAAGGGGCTTATAAACCTGGTAAATAATATTAATAATTATAATTCCTTGGCCATAAGTAAGCACATTCAATGTGATATATAGCTTATTGATTTTTTAATTAGCTGCTCCACCTTAATATTCAAATTCTAGGCTTCTTAATTAATCTATTCTATTGTCATAATTCTTTTCAACTAATTATATATGCTCGTTATATCAAACTCCTCCTCTAGACAGACTTATCTCAGTCTTATATTTGACTTATATATTGGGAATCAAGTTATCAAATGAATGCGCAAAATATATACAAGAATAAATATTTACTTAGCACTCGTTTTTGAATCCCCACTGACCATTCCATATATCCAAGGCTCTTATTATGTTTACATCTTGATATTCCCTAGCCCAAGATAACGTTCTGCCGTTTCTCTTTCAATTTTTGCCTACTATTATGTTTTTTATCTACCAGATAAGATATCACTGCGCGCATATTTATCTCTAGGTCTTGCTCCACTTTTTTTTTGTTTTTTGCCCACAAAAGAAACTTTTGATTTGGCTTGATTTTTGATGGAAGAGTTCCTTTCCTTTGTCTGGTCAAAAGGAGGAGCAGTGCACCCATTTTGGATCCCTCGTGGCAACCACAAGCCGTGGGCCAATCGTGTGCACTTTTCGCCATGGCAACCTGCCCTGCCAGCCGGTCACAACAAGTCCACCACTCCGGCCGGAGAGTTGTTTGCCAACAAAAACAACAACAATGTGCTTGCTTAGCCCGGGCAACCCCCTGTCCATAGGGACAGGGCCCGGCGAGTGGCCAGCTGGGTGCGGCTTTAATGTCTGGCGTCATGTTACCATTTATAGCCCATGTTTCCCTAGAACTTTCGCTGCTCCTTTCTGTGTTTAATCGATAAAACCCCAAAACGAGTGTTATTTCCCTGGTATTTCCCATTTTCATGGCTGGCCTCTGGCCCTGCTCTCCCCCTCACTCTGTGTGCCATTTGTGAGCTAATTGCAGATCGAGGCTAAGTAACTGATTTTTCAGGGGGAGTGGAAGTGGAATGCCGCACGGGAGGCTTCACTGTGGGGGCGGTGGCTCTGGCAAATGTTTACTGTTTGGTTTGAGCTCGTTAAGTTGACTGTTAATTATCGGTTTTGGAATTTCGCGACGCAGTTTGGCAACGAAAATGAGCGTGGAGTGTGAGTTTACCTGGCAGATGGAATATCTCGCCCAAGATCAACAAGGTGCAAGTCATAAATTTGAAAGTTATGGGGTGTAAGGAAATCCCTTGTTAACTATATAAAGAATAATTTGTAAATAGCAATGAAATATCTATATAAATCGCTCTTTCCGCAAGTCTCAACTTTTCCCTCATAATTAACTAATCAATTTTCCCTTCACTGGCCGCTCTCCTCTTAATATTTTTTTTGGAAAAAAAAACTTAAAAACAAAACGCAAACTTACGAGTCGTATTTCACAGTTGGTAAGCTATTTGCCATGCATATTTGCAACGCTCCAAAAAGCCCAATAAACGGCAATCACAGGAGGCAGCTGGAAAATGCTTTCGCATTGCTTTTATACATAGAGATGGCAAAAGATTTGCATAAAAAGCACATACTTTTACAGATCCAAGCTGATGTGTAAGTGCCCGGCAATTAACATCAAACTCGAGTGCTTTACAGGCGAGTTTATTATTGACAAAGTCCCTCGTTCGTTCTCGGATCTAATTTGAAATTGAGATCCAAACACGCCTCTCTAGAGAAAAAAGCGTCTCGTTTTGTTTCGAGATTCTGGGTAACCTTCGAGTGGAGTGACGACTCGACTGCTGACGACTGCTTCTAAACAGACTCACCAACGAGCTCGAGATGATTGCCAAATGACATCAGCCCCGAGCGGGGCTAACAAAGCGCAAAAACTTGACTCTGACTACGTTTTAACGGCTTTCTTCTCTGACCCTAGCGAAAGCTTAAAAATTGGCAAGGTTTATGCATTAATTATGGCTCACCGCTGATCATCTGCGGTTAATCGATTTCTGGTAATTTGAGTGGAACTTGTTCGCTAATTGTGCGGTTTTGGTTTCGGAGGTGCTGCTAGCTGGCAGGTCTCACCTTCTACCCCCCTTAAGTTACACTCGGATAACTCAACTTGTTAGCTTGTGCTGCTGACAAATTGCCCGACAATGCAGGTGCAGATAAAAAACCACTTTAATTGATTCCACTGAAAGGCAAATACTCATGTCGATCGATTAGCTCAATTATCCATTGATTTTTTAATGCCAATGCAATGCAAATACTAGAGGTGTAATAGGAAAGCCACATAAAATATGGGAATATCTTTATTTACTTGGGTCTGTAGAGTGGTTTTAAGTTAAGAGCACTAGAAATGATAAAATTAAACAAAAATTCTATACTAAAACTTGTCTTATCCTTTGCCCAGCAGTGTAAGTCTCTGTTTACCCATAAAATAAAGGTATTATCTCTTGTGCAAGTGCCCTTTTCAAACAAGAACTGATAAAAAACGAGAAACCAACTGTTACTAACACAAAACACATGTTCGATAAGACCATTCCCCACACCCAGAGCTCTGTGTAAACTGACACCTCTTGGCAGCCAGTTTGGGGAACTCCACATGACCTTCAACTGCAACCAGATAATCCCCCTTATTCTGGGCCACTGTATACGTTACTGTGCCAAATCGAAAGTGATGCAGAGTATATACTCATAGCATGGCATGTGCGTCTGTCACAGACGCTTCTGAAGGTGAGCTTGTCCAAATGGAACGACAACGAGCAATGAATGCTGCTGCACTTGTTGTGCACCCGAGACTTGGCGACTTTTAGGCTCGGAGGCGGCTCGCGACAGCTGTCAATGCTTTGGACAAATTCCAAGCTGGAAACCCGAGACACAGCCTTTGTTTACATTTTGCCCAGCAGCTGGTTCAATGCTCTCGTTCTACTTAGTTTGGATCAAAGCTTGCCACACATGTGCGCTAT